AGATAGATAGATGACAGACAGACAGCTAGACAGACAGACAGATAAACAGATAGATAGATAGATGACAGACAGCTAGATAGAGAGATAGATAGATGACAGACAGACAGCTAGACAGACAGACAGATAAACAGATAGATAGATAGATAGATGACAGACAGCTAGATAGAGAGATAGATAGATGACAGACAGACAGCTAGACAGACAGACAGATAAACAGATAGATAGATAGATAGATAGATAGATAGATAGATAGATAGATAGATAGATAGATACCAGTAGAGTGAGGGTATGCGTGCTATTGATCATAGCTCATCAATTTATCATGTTGCATGGCTATGACTGCTAATGAAGTGATTGCTGAGAGGCAGACGGCGGATTGTAGAAATTATGTTTTTGGTACAGTACGAGATTAAAATGACAGATCAGAAGGCAGGAAAGGCCTGATAATCGCATATAACTGATTAGATAGGCTAAACAGCAACACTATTCTGATTTTAAATAGCATGTCTGTTGCCAGAAATGTGATTTCTACATTTCAGTATTCCGCTATTTCCTATTTCAACTCACCTTGAGAATTGTCAGAGGTTGTGCTAAAGTCGGGCACGACGCCTGATCTGTCCGCTTCATTATCAGACATCTGCGATTCTTTCATCTGTGTTTCAACAGAGCTGAGCTTCCTCCGAGCAAATGCGGCCATGTAGCTGGGATCAGACAGGGATGGGGTGGTGGGCTCCGTTGTTGGTGGTTTAATGGTGGCTGCTGGTGCGGCGACATTTATCGGTTTTCTGGCGGACGCGATCGTGGGCGCTGGTGTTAATGCGACAATACCGAGCCGGTACCCTGGAACCCCGTTCGCGCTCGTATTAGGATGCTCCTCGGCGATTGAACGAGATTTCCTTATTACTAAAGGCAGCGCATCGTAGGAATGAACCGCCTCGGAATACCCCATGCACACAAACACGATGAATGGGAAAGCCGGGGATGTAAACATCATTAAGGCAAGCCACCACATGATAATAATCTCAACGCTCCATGAAAACCTCCACGAGACGGACTTCGCAAGGCCCCCGTCCTCCAATTTCCATCGGGTTATTCCAAACCAGGTGGTTTCCAAGCCGCCCCGATGTAGCCTACTCCACCATATCCGAGAGAGACCCCCTTTTTCACAATGGCTCTGAACCGACTGCAAGGTGTTTGATCCGCACCGACCTGTAGTAGAAGCGATGCGCGTTAGAGTGGCATACTCACTGGCCAATCAGAAAGCAGGACGAGACAACCGCTGTGGTGAGATGTGTGTTTTTTCTCTGCGCCTGACAGACGGTGAGGCGTCTGATTGGTTAAAATCAGGCGCATCGAAACCTCGCTGGCTGGTTCATGCAGTCAGGCGATCATTAAAATATTTTCATTTTATAGCCTATTGTTGAATCAACCGTGGATAAAAATAAGAAAACACGTTTTAAAATATTTAAGGACTTTCAAAACAACAACATCATACAATGCTACTTCATTCTGCTTCTCTGTGAGCAACTAGTCATGTATTATTGCATCATAGGCGAACTAAAGGTAGTCTAACGGGATTTTTATATGCACTACACTGAACAACGACTCGTTTAATAATTTTATTCTATTTTATTGTTATTTTTATGTAAATAATTTGAATCTATATTTTGGTGTTTATGTTATTAAAAATAAATAATTAATATTGTTGTTTGTTTTTTTGCGTTTTTTGCATTTATTTGTTTGTTTATTAATGTATTGTTGTTTGTGGTGGTATTTGGAGCTCTGGGTTGATTTTCTGCGGCATCAATTGCTGAGCACTGTCAGTATAGGTTATTATCATCAGCAGCACCATCTTCTGGTTGTGCAAAAGAATGAGGAACAATTTTGCAGATTTCCTGTGGTGGGATTGTGATACTATCCTGAGCCATCAATATTAGCAAGACTGTAAAATAGCTTTCAATAACAGAAACCTCTTCAAATTACAGTAATAGTTGCAATTTAATAATTGACTATGCATGTTTTTTCTTTTGCATAAATGTTCTACCCTTCTCAATTTAGCATTTGTGTATAAATACTGAAAATGTTTTGCTCTTTTATTTTAAAGATAATAAATTAATTAGTGAAATGGATTTGCTGCTACATGCGGTATCTAGAACCTGACCGAATGATTGCAATGCAAACAACATACACAATTTAAAAAGAACAAAAAAATGATTGCCAAGATTTTATAGTCCTACAACAGAGCCTCTTTTACGCTTCACCCACATTCCTACTGTTTTGAGACCTCATCAAGGTAAAGGCCAACATCCATATGGACATCTCATGGATGTGTGGACGAGCACCTGGGGCTCGGGGCAGTGAGCTGTGACAATGTACACGTGGAGTCACAGAATAATGATAAGCAAAAATTGCTTTTGATATGGGCAATATTTCGATAGTCTTCTAAATGTTGTAACAAAGAAAAAAAAGGTAGATGACAAAACAAAAGGAGGCAGGTGGATACAGTACAGACAATGTAAATATTTATAGAAATAACTTTGTTACGGAATGTGTTGCTATAGGCTCATCTATTTGATCCTTTTCTCCCTTTAAATTTTAGAGCAGTGGATGTATATTTAGCACTGACGAAGTTAGCCACATTAATATATAGGTCTTCAAAGTGATTCTCCAAACAAGTTATGAATGTGTAGGAGTGTACTTTTGTCCTTTATCAAAATTACTTTTAATTGTTTTTAAATTATTTAGAGCTTAAAAATGCTTTCAGTTTTTGGTTATTATAATAAACCAATTAAAAGAGTCCCAAAATGGCATTGCAAATTATGCACAATGTTAACAGACACTGCCAAAGGACAGTGCTGTTTCTCAGAATACCGATGTGTAACATGCAGGTCTTGCCAACAAATGACAATATATGATGGCTATGTTGGAGGTGATTACTCAACCCATATGAGAATCATCTTAAAGGGCATGTAGGCCTACTCAGTGAGGACTGTGCATGGAGGCAACCATAAAGTGATAGTTCACTCAAAAATGAAATGAAAATTCTGTCATCTTTCACTCATCCTCAAGTTGTTCCAAACCTGTATGAGTGTCTTTCTTCTGTTGAGCACAAAATAAGATATTTTGAAGAATGTTGGTCACCAAACTGTTCGTGGTAGCCACAGACTTTCATAGTAAGGAGAAAATATAATTGAAATTAATGGCTGTGAGGGTGGCTGAGTAAATGACAGAATTTTATTTTCTTTAAAATTTTTATTTCTTTATGAAGAATGGGAGGTGAACTATCCCTCTAAAATGTCCAAAAACAATTAATCAGCCCTTAGAGATTGTCATTTTTTAAAATATAAATGTAGAATAATTTTCTTCTTGATTTAAAAAAAAAAAAATTCCCAATTTATAAATTATATTTATTATAAGATTATATTTTGGTATAGAAGAAGAGACATTTCAACCTGAAAATCCATATAGGTGCATTAACTGGCTATTCCAGACATTTTATATTAAAGGTGAGTTTGCATTCATTCTTTTACCTACAAATAGTAGCCTATCTATGTATGTAATTACGTAGTGAAAGCTCATGTTCAGATTTATATTTAGTAAGAAACAAAATAGCAAGCTATTGTTCAGGAGTTGCTTTCAAGTAAACTAATTTTTGCGGGGAAAAAATCCTTCCAACATTAGAATACATGCGAAAGTAAAATCTAATATCCAATCAATAATGATTATTTTAATATCTTATAAATGTAAACACATTAATATGACAACATACATTAAAAAAAATATGATGCGTCTAATTGATCAATGCGGTCCTAATACTGTGACCATTTGTGAGTATGAACCTGTAGCCACGCCTGCATCCTGTTGTCGCCCAATCAGCGACGAGCACAATCGCCAAGTTGTTCCTGGAACGTCATCAGGTATCTGGTGACTGAAGATTACGCGTGAAGTTAGTAGCCAGGTGCTAGCCGCGACAAAAACAACACACAGATGTAACGCCTGGAGACGTATTAGCGTTAAACGTGATTCCTGTTACAATGAACCTCAGCTCTGTCAGAGTCTATGGAGTTGTCACGGTAGGTTTACGCTCGTCTGTTTTGTTGGTTTAGTAAAGGAGATGGACGAGAGCTAACATTAGCTAGCTGTGTTTACATTTGATTTTCTGTTATTGCTCGGCTCTGGGCTTTTTATCGAGAGCTTTGGGGTGGATGTTTGCATACACTGTCAGCATGTGATGGATGAATGGTTCTGCCATCAAGCTTACGTGTCATAATCAAATCTGTCACTGGTTAGCTTACTACAGTGTAGCATATCAAGCCATGTAAACATTGAGTCTCTTGGCACATTCAGTCTATTCTAAAACATAAAAGCGCATAAGAGTTTAGGGTGATATTAGTATTTAATCTGACAGTGTTGTCCATGTCTTGCTTAAAAACAACTCATCTGCTTTAAATAATTCTGAACTTGAGTATCAATAATGTAAGTGTAGTACTATTTTGATATGTCACCTCCACTAACTATATAAACAGGTACAGATGTACACTAGATGTACTAAGCAGTTCACTCTTAGCATGCAGGTTGGCAGCACAGCAAACTCATTTCATTCAGAAAAGTAGCTGATGGTTAAAAGCCTTGTTTGATTGGATTAGTTTGACCACTAGATGTTAATGTAGTCCTAATGTTGTGATTTTCTCCACAGAGTCAAGGCAGCAGAGAGTGATCTGCTTACGCTGTGAATATAAGCCGTTCTGCTTTCCGAGGACCCTACAGTGTCTCGTTGACAGTTGGGGAGACGTTTAAATCATTGCTTTACACACATACAGCTATACGCTACATCTACACTACAGAGATGTTCGCAAAGTTGAAGAAGAAGCTGGCGGAGGAGGCCGCCACTGCCCCTCGATCAGGCCGCATCCCTCGCTCCATGAGCAAAGAGTCCATCACTTCTGTGGGCGCAGATTCTGGCGATGACTTTGTGAGTAGATCTTTCTCTGCTTTTGTGTAATTCTCAGTCTCCAGCTTCTTGCGATATCATGTCTTCATGCAATATTGAGACCCATAAAGTTGTTGGGTCTGTTTTAAAATGTCTAGCTGGTGATATTACCAGGATATCTCGATCATAGTACGATGTTACTGCTTTCTTCATATTTCATGTATAGCCTACATTTTCAGACGTTAATGTATTGAGTGCTTTTATCTACTACACCAATTATTAGTGCATTTCACTATCATTCAAAAGTTTGGGGTTCGTAAGATTTTTGGTAAGATGCCTTTATTTGTTTAAAATACAGTTAATTAAAATAAATGTTTTCTATTTTAATTTATGTGAAAATATAATTTATTCCTGTGATGGCGAAGCTAAATATTCAGCATCCACTGTACTGTTTATTCTTGGCTTATTTAGAGTTTGGTTTATGGTCAAAAAGTAATAATTTTGTGTTCTATTCCTCTCACGCTTGCACTGAATGGTGGTTAATCTTTAAAAAAAAAATGTTCTCAAAAATATTATCATGTAAAATGTTATGAGAATTCACATTCTAGAATCGGTGAAGTTCCAGCTGACACATTTTGATAAGCAGACATAATAAGTACTTCATTATTTCCTATTACAAAAGCAGAATGGCCCTAATAAATCAGCATAGTAGTAATTCATGTTTCAAATGACTGGCATATTTACAGTATCCATTCTAGAGAAAGTTATATGACTGTGTACTGACTGTGTTTGCACAGTGCTGCACCTGAACAGCCTGGTAGTATGATGAAGTTTATTACTAGAGTGCTGTGCTATGCTGCTTGGGAAACCAGTGAAATCTAGTGAGTGCTAAATAATGTCACATACTTCGACAAACCAGTGTAACCTGACACTCGTGTCCTCTAGCAATTAATGGCAAACACTCTCAGGGTTAGGTTCAGGTTATCTTTCGCCCTAAATAATTAACGCTGTAGGCTTGTTGGAGGATGAGAGCAGTATCGGTAACGTGTCTAAATCAAAGCCACCCTTATATAGTAGATGTTTTACTGAGAGAAGCCAACGCTTTTGGACCCCAACGACAATGTAAATAAAAACGTATAATTCTGCATTTGTGCTGATAAACTTTTAGGTATACTTTTTTAACCAAATAAATAAACATCTCCCTTTTGCATTCTGTAGATCTTATAAAGTATGTGCAATTATATTTCTCTGATATTAGTGTTTTGTGTTTTTCTAATTTATTGGCATTGGTCAGTATTGTATATTTAATTGTTCATGCTCATTTCCACGGTTTTTACATTTAGGCTGTCTTTACTGTCATTTAATGCTGAAAGTGAATATTTACCTCATTGTTAAATAAAACCTTAAGACAATTTTTTTTGTACTGTGCATCATTTTTGCGTCCTAAAACTGTTGATTTTATTTTTAAACTCTTTATTTTTAACTAGTTTTATTTATTTTTTACTTATTAATATTAATCCAATTTTAATATTAGCATTTCTTCTAATCCTATTAGTTATTGGCTATAACACTGGAATAACTAACACAAAAAAATACTATAAATAATATACAATCAGTATTAAATGATAAATAATACTAATCAGTATTAGCCAGATTTTTAATATTGATGCATTCCTAGTTTTTTTTTTTTTTTTTCCTATGGTATATTTTAAAATAAATGTCTCCATCTCTGTCATTCACTCTTAGACTTCTGATGGCAGCAGCTCCAGAGATGATGTTTCTTCTCAGATTCAGCGCAGAAACGATCAGATACGAAAGCTGGAGGCCAAACTCTCAGGTATCGCCAACACAATACAGTGACGCTCATGTAAACACAACAAGAGAAAAAGACTGAAAGGAGGAAAAAGATACGAAAGGCCAATGTGACGGCTTTACAAAACGTCAGTGGAAATCAATGAGAAAAGGAAAAACTAGTGATAGGCTGTTACGTGTACATCCTTCTCACCTGCCACTTTTACGTGCCGAGTCTATTTCAGTCTGTATTTGGACGCCTCTAAACCCTTTACACCTTTTGCCACAGTGGAAATCTGATGGCAGCAGCTCCAGAGATGATGTTTCTTCTCAGATTCAGCGCAGAAACGATCAGATACGAAAGCTGGAGGCCAAACTCTCAGGTATCGCCAACACAATACAGTGACGCTCATGTAAACACAACAAGAGAAAAAGACTGAAAGGAGGAAAAAGATACGAAAGGCCAATGTGACGGCTTTACAAAACGTCAGTGGAAATCAATGAGAAAAGGAAAAACTAGTGATAGGCTGTTACGTGTACATCCTTCTCACCTGCCACTTTTACGTGCCGAGTCTATTTCAGTCTGTATTTGGACGCCTCTAAACCCTTTACACCTTTTGCCACAGTGGAAATGTATAAAGCACATGACATTTGACAGATTTGCCACAAAACAAGCCTGGAATGAATGCAAATGACTCCACTGTAACGGCCTGGAAAAATCTGCATAAATAATAGATTCCTGGCTCTCGCTATCAGCCTGCGATTGGTATGTGATTACATAGCCTGATCTAGAAACTCCTTTAACCCTAAATGAGCAGTACTAGATAAGATGATTGCATAATTGACCTGATCAGGGATGATCTATTAGTGTAAAGGTCAAAGGTTGGTCATTGTTCAGCCTCACAATCAGTCTGGTTTTCTCATCTCAGAAAATCATTCTGTTTTTCCCTCCCATTTGTTTATCTTCTCAATCATATTTATCCCTTTGTTTTCTCCCCCCTGTTTTGTCCCGTCTCCGTGATCCTCCCCCTCATCCTCCTCTGCCTCCCTCCGGTCGTGTTTTTGTGTGTGTCGGTTTCCCATTCCCCAACCCTAGACTACGCTGAGCAGCTTCGGCTAATGCAGAAGACCAAGGAGAAGCTTGAGATTGCATTAGAGAAGTATCAGGATTGTACGTACCGTTCTTTTCGCCTCTTCCTTCTTTTGGCTTTCTCTCCTCTGCTCTGTTTTCCTTTCGTTTGTCCAGTGCTTTTACACAAACCTCACACAATTCAAACATACATTTTTCTAGACAAACAAGGTTGGTTCTTGATCAGAAAGCAAACGAATGAAGATAGTTCATTTGTTCATTGTCTTTAAATGGATTGTTTTATCACAAATGTCTTCAGGACTTAATATAAGTTAAGCTTTTTTATAATGTTGATATCATCGAATATTATTTCTCCCCAAATGTTCAAAAAAGATGTTCATTTGCAATGTTCTCACTTCAAAAAGAACAATTTACACGTATTATTATTACAGTTTAATTATTATAATAATTTTTGTTACTCTAGCAGTATGCTTTGCTTTTTTAAAAATAAATAAATAAATATGTAGATAAAGCGGCGTCTTTATATTATTTAAAAATATCCAACAAATGCTGCTGGTAGAGCTTGACTTGTGTTGAACCCGGAATATTTCTTTAACCTCTTTCTTTGGGAGTTTTCTACGCCTGGGAAGTATGTGTCTGGGGCCATGGCTTCTGAGTTTTAGAGGAGAAATCTATAGAGCAAACACGCTGCTTTAAACAATTTTTGTGAGGGTGACGTTGTTTTTTTTGTTTTATTGTAAATCTCCGGTCGTGTTTTTGTGTGTGTCGGTTTCCCATTCCCCAACCCTAGACTACGCTGAGCAGCTTCGGCTAATGCAGAAGACCAAGGAGAAGCTTGAGATTGCATTAGAGAAGTATCAGGATTGTACGTACCGTTCTTTTCGCCTCTTCCTTCTTTTGGCTTTCTCTCCTCTGCTCTGTTTTCCTTTCGTTTGTCCAGTGCTTTTACACAAACCTCACACAATTCAAACATACATTTTTCTAGACAAACAAGGTTGGTTCTTGATCAGAAAGCAAACGAATGAAGATAGTTCATTTGTTCATTGTCTTTAAATGGATTGTTTTATCACAAATGTCTTCAGGACTTAATATAAGTTAAGCTTTTTTATAATGTTGATATCATCGAATATTATTTCTCCCCAAATGTTCAAAAAAGATGTTCATTTGCAATGTTCTCACTTCAAAAAGAACAATTTACACGTATTATTATTATTATTATTACAGTTTAATTATTATAATAATTTTTGTTACTCTAGCAGTATGTTTTGCTTTTTTAAAAATAAATAAATATGTAGATAAAGCGGCGTCTTTATATTATTTAAAAATATCCAACAAATGCTGCTGGTAGAGCTTGACTTGTGTTGAACCCGGAATATTTCTTTAACCTCTTTCTTTGGGAGTTTTCTACGCCTGGGAAATATGTGTCTGGGGCCATGGCTTCTGAGTTTTAGAGGAGAAATCTATAGAGCAAACACGCTGCTTTAAACAATTTTTGTGAGGGTGACGTTGTTTTTTTTGTTTTATTGTAAATTGTGCCTGTAGCAAACTAATGTAAGATATTTAGCTAAGAAGTGTTATTAATCTCTAAAAGCTCAGATCCCATTTCTAGACATACCCAAAGTAAAAGGAAAAATAAACTGATTACAATCAACTAAAAAAGACTTGTGTATATACTAACAATCTGTTTTACAGCTGTACTAACAAGGACATCTGGACATTACTGGCGATGTTGTTCTTTTTTCCAATAAAGTTTGATTAACGAAACTAACAAAGATAGCAAAATGAATATTTTATGTATTGATATGTTCGGTACTTTGTATGCTGGGTCTAACATTACCATCTGTGTTAACACCTAACCAGTAATTTCATGTTATCTGTTTTAAAGGAATAGTTCACCCAAAAATGAAAATCTGCTGAAAATGTACTCAGGCCAGTTTCTTCTTTGGAATAGATTTGGATAAATTTAGCATTCCGTCACTTGTTCATCAATCCTCTCCAGTGAATAGGTGCCGTCAGAATGAGAGTCCAAACAGCTGATAAATGCAACACAATAATCAACAAGTAATCCACAGAAGAAAATTTAATTATGGATTATGGACTGGTGTTTTAGCCTGAAGCAATGGTTTAAAATTAAAACGTCTTAAGGATGGATTTGTTTCTTACAAACTTGCAGTTATTTGCTTCACAAGATATTGTAGATTGTAGTGATGTTTTTATAAACTGTTTGGACTCTCATTCTGACGGCACCCATTCACTGCAGAGGATCCATTGCAAGTGATGTAACACTCTTCAAATATATTCTGATGAACTCCTTTACGTCTTGCATGGCCTAAAGGTACATACATTTTCAGTAAGTTTTCATTTTTGGGTGAACTATTGCTTTAAGGGTTATAGAAATACTTTTTTTTTTTTTTTTTTTTACTGAATTAATATTTAATGTACTTTAATAAAAATATAAGCTGCACATTTCTGCTTTTAAACCCTCCAAATCTCTTCCCTGCTAAACTGCCAATTCAAGTATATTTAATGTAAACATGTTTGTTGCTAGTTTGCACATGCTGAGGAACATATTTAAATTATCATATCATCTGTGAAAACTAAACATGCAGCCTATAGATATTATGCTGAAAATGATCTGGAATATGTCTTTAAGAAGGAAATCAGAAAGATTAAAGCAGAAACCGGAAATAATCAATCTTTTGTCTTATTTCTGTGTTCAATCAGCATCCATGCGCAAACTTCAGGACCAGAATGAAGCTTTCCAGACCAACCGAGCCAAGATGGCAGAAGGCATGGCCTTAGCATTAGAGAAGAAGGACCAGGAGTGGATAGAAAAGCTAGCTACTCTGGAGCAGGTAAAGATCCTTTGTAACATATTGGATAAAGATTTTAGGAAGGACTGTCGAGCCTGACTAGTCACTTTCAGTTTAAAAGCATCCGATAAATGTTTATTTCAAACATCAGTGTTAATAACCTGTTTTCTAATTGTTTTGTCTTCTTTCTCTCGAACAGGAGAAGTTGTCACTGGCAGCTCGGCTAGATGAGATGACGGAGCAGAGTTTAAGTCTGTTCCAGAAGAGAGATGACCTGGATGAGCTGGAGGGCTTTCAGCAGCAGGAACTGGCCAAAGTCAAACACATGGTCAGCACAGTGTATTCTTTTATTAGTTATTTATAGCAAGAGTAGCATTAAAACAGACTTAGAAAAATTACACACGTCACCTTCCTTCACATTCCTGCACTCAACAATATTATTTACACTGATGCATATCTAAGTTAGAGGTCTGCACGGGCTTTAAAGTGAAGCCTGAAGCCGGCCCGTACCCGAGATCGTCTGACCCGACCCGACCCAACCCGAGTGGCACAGTTAAATTTAGAACCCGAAATCTTTTTTTTTTTTTCCACAATGAATAACCAATTTTTAAAAAATGCTGTATTTCACGATTGCATGCAACGGTCAGTAAGCAAATAAATAAGAAACAGAATCATTAAGGCTCGGCCAGTTCACAAGGCGCGCGCGTGAGAGAGAGAGAGAGAGAGATGAAAGTTGCGTGTGTGAACCTGCGTCTGTGCGTCTCTCTCTACAAGCAATGAGGCTTAGTTCCTTCAAAAACAGCGATTTTACCCCCTCGTTGCAGAGAAATATAATGTTGCGAGTCAGTAGCCTGTCGAAGCTATTTTACTAATAAAAGTTACCCTGCTGTGTTGTCATGTGCGATAATGTGTGTGCGTGCGTCTATGACAGCCGCGTAGCCTGCATATAGTTTTAGTTTAGCTATAAACCCAAGCCCAACCCCAAGCTATTCATTAAACATTAACCCAAACCCGAAAGTATTTCGGGACCCCGTCGGGCTCGGGTAGGGTAGCAGACCTCTAATCGAAGTTAAAGGAATATCTAATCTAACACCCAGAAGTGTCAGAAAACACAGACTCGTATACACTGCAGAATAGACAAGAGGTTCCATCTTATTCCCAAACTGTTTAAGAGGCCTGATCATAAATTTGTCCTGTAGCTGCTGAGGCGAGAGGAACAGCTAAGTCAGCGGGAGAAAGAGCTCAGACTGAGAGGAGAGGAGCTGAACACAGCAAGACTAACCCTGAGCCAAACCCAAGACAAGCTGTATGAGTTGGGAGAGGAACACGAGGAGATGTGCAGGGTCAACTCACAGCTACAGGCCCAGAGGTTTGTGAAGAAATACAGAAGAACTTGACTTCCATAAAGGAATAGTTCACGCCGTGATTCATTCCTACTGCAAAATATCTGGATGGAATGGGATGGAAATGTTTCAAAGGCTGTTGAGACATTCATTAAATATTCAACCACTTTGGCTTTGAAGGAATTATTCTTTCTAAAGAAGTTTCTTTCAGAAAACATAATAATGTCTAAAGGATGAGAATCAAATCTCCAGTTTGTCCACCTGTGTCTTTCAGGGATGAGTTGTTGAGTGAGAGAACAGAGGCTGGGAGGAAGGTTGTGGCTCTGGAGAAGAGAGAGCAGGAGTTACAGCAGCTGATCCAGCAGGTGTCAGAGGACTTCCAGAAGGTGAGCACTTGGCAACCTTCAGCTCACTACAGATGACACTCAGAAGCCAAGAGGGTCACTTTTGAGAACAGAGCCACACCTCCCTTCAAAGTGTTTTCAGCCCACCTTGCACCTTATCATTTCCTTCACTTTTATATATATATATATATATATATATATATATATATATATATGCAATAACATGTTAGGTTTTCTGTGGTTTGCAATTGACTGGAACATTTGGTATTGTGAAATTCTAGACTAATATCCAAGAAAAAAGCTTACATTTATAACTTTTTATAACATTTATAGCTCAATCTGTTATATTTAAACATTTAAACCCTTCCTTTCATAAATTGCCCCTGAAGTAACCATACACTCCTGAGGAAAACAGTCAAGATCTGTTTAAAGAATATGGAATGTTTTCCGTTTTGCTTGAATTGCATGATAAAAATCATTTCCACATTGTTTCTGTATTGTTTCTTCTTTGTTTTCCAGGCACAAAACAATGCAAAGGCACTAGAGAAATCAATGGAGCAGCTCCAGTCTGAACACAATAAGCTGAAGCTACAGCACGAGCAGCACAAGAACAAGGTCTGATTGACTCGACAAAGAATCCATTGATACTAAAGCCTTCACTCGCATTTGCAAGTGAAAATTGCTGTCTGCCAATGTGCTAAATTATGCAGGCACACACGTGAGTGGCATCTAATCGAAACCCGTTGACTATATAATTACATCAAAATAAATGCTTCTTATTAGGACCTACTAACTATATATGCAAATTGCATTTGTCTGTTTTCTATAGCTTTTAATTTTATATTCAAGTGGTTTTTAATCATTTTGACAATGCATCTTGAGATACTATCACTGCACTGCATCTAGCGGTTTTTATTAATTTAATTTAATTTTAACACTAAATGCAATACCATTTCATTATCACATTGTTATAACTCTTCATACCTTACTGTGATTGGTCAGGTTGCAGTGACCGAGGAGGAGAGAGAGCATCTATTAGCTGATCTGCAGGAGAAGGCCACCTCCTTAGAGAGGAGACTAGATGCAAACCTCTCTCAGGATGAGCACCTACAGGAACTACTCAAGGAGGTCAGAGGACACTCACCTATACCACTTATCATCTTACTGCAGTTTCAGTCATCTAATATCTGAATGCTGTGTTTGTGTGTGTGTGTGTGTGTGTAGAAGTCTTCATTACAGCAGAGGTTAGAGGAGGCCAGAGGAGAGTTACTGCAGGAGAGAACAAATCACACCACTGCGGTCAGTTCACTGGAGGCCCAGGTAAACCCCAGCATCTAAGCTCATGCTGCTCTACATAATGTTTTTACAATTGTGATTTCCAGGAAAAGTCATGAAAATAAATGAAATGTTTAAAATATATATATATTTTTATAGTCAAATATGGAAAATGTAAAAGTATTTTGTTGACACATTGCAATCATGTAGCATGTATACAAAAATACAGCAAAAATAGTAATATTGTGAAATATTCTATTGTAAAATAACTGTTTTATATTTAATTATATATTTGTGACCCTGGAGTCTTAAGTCGCTGGGGAATATTTGTAGCAATAGCCAAAAATACATTGTATGGGTCAAAATTATAGATTTTTCTTTTATGCCAAAAATCATTAGGACATTAAGTAAAGATCATGTTCCATAAATATATTTTGTAAATTTCCTACTGTAAATATATAAAAACTTAATTTTTGATTAGTAATATGCATTGCTAAGAACTTCATTTGGACAACTTTAAAGGTGATTTTTTTTTGCACCCTCAGGTTCCAGATATTCAAATAGTTGTATCTCGGCCAAATATTCTATCATCATGTCAATGTCCTATCATAACAAACCATCAACGGAAAGCTTATTTATTCAGCTTTGAGATGGTGTATAAATCTCAATTTCCAAAAATTGACCCTTATGACTGGTTCTGTGGTCCATTTTAGAATGTAATTTATTCCTGTGATGCAAGGCTGATTTGACACTTTTGATCAATTTAATGTGTCCTTACTCAAAAGTATAAATTCTTTAAAAAAAAATAATAATAATAATACTGAACCCAAACTTTTTAATTGTAGTGTAAAATGTATTTAAAGAATGTTCTAAAGGCATTTTAAAAAATACAGATTTCATTGTGAATTGAGACAGATTGAACTGAATTTGCAAAAACCCTTTTGAATTGAATTGAAAAATTTAAAGGGGTCATATGATGCGATTTCAATTTTTCCTTTCTCTTTGAAGTGTTACAAGCTCTTGGTGCATAAAGAAGATCTGTAAAGTTACAAAGACTAAAGTCTCAAATCCAAAGAGATGTTCTTTATAAAAGTTAAAGGGGTCATATGATGCGATTTCAAGTTTTCCTTACTTTAACTTGGCGCTGTAGATCGCCGGATCGTCTTTCACCGTGGACGGAGCGGAGTCCAGCCCGGGGTCGTCACATGTGGTTGCCGCAAGCCCACCGGCTGCTCCTTTGTCGAATCCGCACCGTTCTCAAGCCTGCCGGCCGTTCGTCACTCAAGCCTGCCGTGTGTGACACTGTGTGTTTCGTTGTGAATGTTTATGCGGCGCGATGCAACGCAACGCGTAAAAAGACTGTAGAAGTCATTATAATCCGTAATTATGTCCCCACTGGATGCAACAAATGCCTCGTTTATAATGGGTTTTAATGCTTTTGTCTCGTAGCTCCGTCCGGACAGGGCATCACAGTATGGTAAGGGGCGTAACATTTCCGTCACATGCTTGAGGTATTCGGCCAATCACAACGCACTGGATAGCTGGTCAATCAGAGCACACCTCGCTTTTTCAGGCTGATGAGCTTTGTAAAAATCGACACGTTTCAGAAGGCGGGGCATAGAGGAGAACAATCATGTACAGTATGTGGAAAATAATGTGTTTTTTTTTTTACCTTAAACCGCATAAACACATTGCATTACACCAAATACACAAAATAATGTTATTTTTAGCAACATCATATGACCCCTTTAATCTTATCGTTTTGAAATATTCACACCCCTAATACTGCACTCTGCTCTACTATACTGAGATATGCACTGTTGTTCTTTACACCTTTTGTACTGTAATAACTTTAATTCAATGACAACATATAATTTGTTTCCAGATCTCTCGGCAGAACGCCAACATCACAGATCTGCAGACTCTGGTCAAGCACAAAGACGATTCGTCCAAAGCTTACAGAGAGAGGACAGACACACAGGTGAGTTAACCCACACGTCACGTGACTGTGGCTGAATGATCTAAATGATGTGTGTGTTGTGTCAGATATCAGATCTGGAGCAGAGGTTGGCTGACTGCACTGAGACGATGAAGAGTCTGCAACAGCAACTTGAAGACAGTGAAACACATGCAGAAAAGCTGGTGCGTGCTGTTTGGTCGAAGTCACCAAACGTCTCAATAGCTGGCTCAGTTTGGGTTTGTCACAGACAGTTTTTGCTGAAATGTCGCCCCCTTCTGTCAGATATCAGTCATACCTACTGGGACGCTAGCATTAGACGAGGAAAATAACTTATGGGGTTTAGAGTTATTAAACAATTGTTTTTTATGAAACTTAGCGACTGGTTAACTCCTTTTAGTTTTGCCTTCGAGTGTTGACCTCTAACCTTTGGTCCAACAGCAGGCAGAGTGGGCAGGGGAGAGAGAGAGACTACAGCAGCAGGTCTCGACACAGAGACAGAGAGGCTTGGAGAAAACAGCCAGGCTGGAGGAGGAACTTCTTGCACTACAGAGAGAGAGAGAAACAGAGGCAAGCAAGCATCAGGACAACCTGGTGTGTGAAACATCACTGGTCTTTCTTTAATTATTATTCAGTTAACATAGGAACATTATTAAATGTTATCTGATGCTTGTCTCTTTTTCTCAAGCGGTTACTGGAGGAAGAAAAAGCCTCACTGTTGAAGAGCAAAGCTGAGGTGTACAGCACTGTAGAGAGACTGACAGCAGAACTAGAGCAGTCCAGAGTGAGAATCATCTGCCACTACTGATTCACTTCACAGATTCACTGTGACATACACTACCATTCAAAAGATTGGGGTTGATAAGATTTATGTTCACCAAGGCAGCATTTATTTAATCAAAAATAATATATTATTATGAATTATAATTACAGTTTAAAATAAGTGTTTTCTATTTTTATAAATGCAATTTCATTTAAAGTAGAATCTTTCAAAAAATGTATAGTTACATGATCCTTCAGAAATCATTCTAATATGCTGAGTTGTGCTGCTTAATACAGCATTTATTTGAAATAGAGACATTTTAAAATAAGTTTTTACTCTCACTTTTGATCAATTTAATATGTCCTTGCTTAATAATTATATAATATAAAATATTCGTAAAAGTATTAATTTCTTTAGAACAAATTCTAACTGACCCCAACCATATGAAAGGTGTAGTGTAAAAAAGAAAGTTAAAGTAATATTATAAAATAGTCAAGCAAAATCCCTACTGGTTGATCATCCGAGCTCGAGTTATGTTGCTGACCATTATGACATTTATGTGACACATTTGTCGATGTTACAGGCGGAGTTGATCAGCAGACAGACGATAAGCGTTGAAATTGCCAAAGCTCTGGAGGAAACCAGAAAACAGAGAGAAGAACTCCAACAACAGGTTAATTCACTGGCTTATTGGCTTATGAAACATGCATCCATTTTTCACTCATAAAGCCATTTACCTGTGTTAGGAAACTGATGTTTTGCTTGACTTTGATAGGTCAGCAAAATGGCAGCGTTTCTTGAAAAGGCGAAAAATGAAGTGAGTCGTCTTTCTCAGAATTTAGGAGCAAAGGAGGAAGAATTAAACACGCTGAAGGAAGGTGAGGGACCAGTTGTATTTTGGTAGCCCCTGTCCACCCATCAGACCCCTTAAAGGTGGGGTATGTATTTTTTCAAAATCGTTTTAGAAAACTGAGTCGGGCCGAGTACCAAAGCAAACTTGTAGCCAATCAGCAGTAAGGGGCGTGTCTACTCATGATGCGGAGGAGAGAGCGCTCAGTGCACAGGACGGACATTAGCCGAGCCGAGCGACGACAGAAAGATAGAGATGGCAGATAAAAAACAAAAGAGGAAAACGTCTGCGGAAAAAAAGGCTTACGATAAGGCAAGAAGTAAGATCCGTGTAAATATCGGATCAGCTTTCGAGCGCTGGAGAGAACTCAAGGAGCAGAAGGCCTGCAATCGAACGCCGAGGTTGCTTTGTTTCTTCTTGATATGCGAGTAACACCGTGTATACACCGGACGTGACAGTTACCGCGCCGCAACAGCTAAAGTCTGTCTAGTACACTGGACGTGACAAAGCGACCTCTGAAAATCATTTGAAATTGGTCAATACATCATAAATAGAACGCAGCAGCAGTTTTCTGTCGGGGATTTGTCGTGTCGTACCGCACCGTATCCAGTGTAGACCATAGATATGTATATACAGTATATCTATGGTGTAGACAGCATCACTGATTATAATGAGTTCTATTTTGTCGCGCCGTTCGTGTCTGGTGTAGACACGGTGTAACATTGGTTTTGCTTTGTTTCACAGAACTAATCGTTGCCTGGGTTGCGTACGTATGTGTGGGGCGGAGCTATCAAACTAGGGGAGAGACCCTTTTTTTGTTTTGGTGATTTGAAATATCAACACTGGCTACCAGAAGTCACTTACCCCACCTTTAAGAACTGGTTCAAACCAGGGCTATTATAGTTAAAGTTTACAGGGTTAAGCCCCGTTTACACCAAGAACACTAACTATACACCAGCGGACAATATCGTCTGTTTATTCTAAGTGCAAGCTCATCTGTCGCTTTAAATTCTCGAGCTCGTTATAGTAGGATGGATTCTGATTGGGTGTCAATGTTTTTATCAGTTATCAACTGGAAAAATCGTTCTGAAAGCGATTCCAATTATATCGTTTATCTGTGCCTTTATCGTTATAGTTGTGGTCTGTACTCTGCTATTCTTTAATATTGAGAATGATTTTTAGAACTATATTTTTATCGTTATCTTTATAGTTATCGTCCTTGGTGTAAACGGGCCTTACTAAGGCAACATGACTTATTTTAATTTAGTTTAACTTTAGGGCTGCACGATAAATCGCATGCGATATTTAACGCGCATCTTATCAGTAAAGGCGGTTCTGTAATCAGCGGTAAATCTCCATCACCTGTGGGCTTTCACATTGAGCAGCATTAACTACACAGAGCCGTTGTTCACTGACGAGCTGCGCAAAAAATCGCACGAATATGAACGTGGTTTTGCGCAGCTCGTCAGTGAACAACGGCCAGAGGTGTAAAGTATTGGAGTAAATGTAATTAGTTACTGTACTTGAGTATCTTTTCGGGTACTTTGTAGTTGTACTGAGTATCAAAGATATTAGTAACTTTTACTCTTTACTTCACTACATTTTTGAACTAGTATCTGTACTTTTTACTCCACTACATTTGAAATCCTTGTGAGTTGTTGAATGTAATTGTTGTCTGTTTGCCAGTCATTCTGTTCTTTGTTCCCGTTTGTTTTTGGCTTATTGTTTGTTCTAGTTTTTCCATTAAATGCCTGCACATAGATCCTTGCCTCTGCCTGTTTTCCGCAGCTTCTACACAACGTTACAGTTTTTCACTGGCATGTCTCTGTGACTAGTGCATCTTTGAGCCTATATTTAGTATAAGTAAAATATTTAAGTACTGTTAAAATCAGATACTCTAAGACTTTTACTCAAGTTGTTTTGGAATTGGTGACTTGTAACGTGTAGTGGAGTAATTTTCACTGTAAGGTATCTGTACTTTTACTCAAGTATGGCTTTTAGGTACTCTTTACACCTCTGACAACGGCTCTGTGTAGCTAATGCTGCTCAATGTGAAAGCCCGCAGGTGATGGAGATTTACCGCTTTCTGACAAGATGCGCATTAAATATCGCATGCGATTTATCGTGCAGCTCTATTTAACTTGATGTACTAAAATAACTCAAATGAAAACTGAATATATAAAAATAAAAAACACTAAAAATGACAAAAACATGCAACAAAATTGCTAAAACTTTGAAATTATAATGAAAATGGAAAATATAAAAATAAAAACGGACTGAAAATGCAAAAAAACTAAAAATACGTAATTGTATCTCAATATCAATGGTTCAAACCCTTAGTAACCTTTATTTAAAAAACAATACTGTTTTGGTTATACATTTTATTGTTGTTTTAGATTTTAAATATACTTCAATGTTTTCTTTTTTTTTTATGTGTAATTTTTGAATCATTGAATAATTGTCTAAAAAACTAAAAGATATCTTAACATGGTTTTATATTACCAGCCAAATCATATTTTTTTTAAATAACATTTCTGGTAATGATACAAAGATTCTCAAACCTTAAGAGAACACAAAACAGTTCATTTCATTTTTATTTGGACATGTCCAAAAGTAGTTTTTCAGTAAGTTGGATTTAGTAACTGTTTTGACTTATTCATTTAATTCAGTGAAAGATTTGTTAAAATGATTTACATTTATAATCTGCGAGTCTTGAGCAGTGTATTAAAAAACCTACTTAGGAACTTCACTTCTTTGATAAATGGACTACAGTCATGATTTGTTTTAGTTCTGCCTGCAAAGACAATACAACAGACATATGTGTTAGGCACTGTAGATTAAATGTGCTTTCTGTGCTTCATAATGGTTGCAGTAAAAAGCTTCTGTTTCTTATTGTGTGTCAGAGCTGCAGGCGGCCCGTAGCAGTCTGTCTTCTCTCCAGGCTGAGTGCGAGTCTCGTCGTTTAGAGGCTGAGGAGCGAGAGAGAGAACACAACTCTCAGCTGACGTCACTACAGCAGGAAATCCTCACAAAAGCACAACAACTCTCTACTTACCAGTCACGGGTCAGTGTGCACTTCATCTCAGCTGCCTTTTGCTGTTAGATACATTGTCTTACCTATTTGATGTTTTTGTATTGGCATATTTCATTGTGTGTAACAGGTGTCTGATCTTGAGGGTGAGCTGTTGAGTTTAACAGCACAGTCACATGATGAGTGTGATGGTGAGCAGAACGGGACGGTTACTGCAAGTGATCTTGACCAGTTACAAAATGTCAATAAAGACCTGGAGCAACAGCTAGCCGAAAAGAACAAGGTGAGAGCAAAGAAACCACTGAAATGAAAGAACATAAGCTTAACTCTTTCCCCGCCAAACACAGAATTTTCTGTTATTCATGAGACAGCGCTTCCCTGCCAAACACTGAATTTTCTGGGTTTCTGTGTTTTCACTGTTATGCACTCGGGGGTGCTATTACACATTTCCTGAATGAGTCTAGAAAGTGCTGATCAAAAACACAGACCAGGAAGTCGCAGAAACTAGCATATGCATATGAAAAATAATATGATCATCAACAGTAACCGCATATAAATGAAAACTGCCTAATGTTACAGAGTGAAATGTCAATCCAGAAAGTGGTAAAGGCCTGTGCAAACTTTGGGAATACTGATGGAAGCCATCTACTGCATCTTTGCTTTGATAATATTACTGAATATGATCCAGATGTAGTATTTGATAAAAATGCGATTTTCTCAGCTTTTTGCTCAAAATGCTTTTATGAAACCTACCTATGTACAAGTGTTGATAAAAAAAAACAATGCTTGAAGCTAGAATAAAACAGATATATATTTTTTTAAGTAGAGTCTGAGCTTTATTTTGATGTATTGCATGTTCAGATATTCATACAACAAAATATTCTGGGGTCCATCAAATTTTAGTGAAATTCAGCAAAAACGCTGGCAGTGGCTGGCGACTTTTTTCAAAAACGCTGGCGGGGAAAGAGTTAAAGAAGAGCAGAGATTTTAAAATTATGAACTTGAATTTAAATGTAAGAACATAATTAAATGGAGAACATATTTTTATATATACTCTTATAACTTTAGTTTTTACTTATTTTACTTTTAATTATAGAGAACATTTTACAAGAATAAATTATTTCAAATAATTACATCAATCATTTGTATGGAGAAGGTTTTTATGGGCTTTAAAATCCAATAAGAATGTGACAAAAATAGTTTTCTTAATAAATGTGTCTAGTTTTATCTTGCACTATTCATTTGTGCGTATTATTGTACATTTCAAATTTTACAAATAAAATTATACATTTTTAATGAAAACTTTCATTACAAATGTAACAGTATTTTCTGCAAACAATTTGCTAACAACCAATCCTGCACTTGATGTAAAAAAAAACAAACATTATTTACAATTTTTTTCAAGTCACCCTACATTATTTGAATTATAATGTGAAAACTGTATATTCTGTTGCACCTGACATTATGGAAGTAAATATGTTTATGAAGTAGAACATTTAGTATAAGAGTAGATTGCTTTGAATATACTTTTTTTTTTTTTTAATACAAATATATTGTATATACAAGTAAATGTATTGTATTTTATTGTATTTATTTATTTTTGTCAGACAATAAAGCAGCTACAGCAGAGGCTTGCAGAACTGAAGAGGACATTACAGAAAGAGCTGGTGAGTGTGTTTATTCATTATGTCAATGTATGCAACACAGTCCACGTCAGCTGTCAGTAAACATTTCCTCGCAATGTGTTTATGCAACAGAAACTGAAGCCAGATCCTGACGTTGAGACGAAGGAGAGACTCCAGGAAAGCAGGCAGGAGAAATCAACCGATAAGACAAACTCAGAGACACCGATGCCCGCCACAGCTCCAACCTCAGCTTCAGGACTCCCTCACACTTCAGGCCCACCTCCCATCACCTCCAACACCACAGTCACCAACAGTTCAGACCTCACCGACACAAGAGAGATCAACTTTGAGTACCTCAAACACGTGGTGCTGAAGTTCATGTCATCCAGAGAGGCAGAGGTGAGGGCTCGATCGATATCTGACTGGTTTGCTACAGCGGACTGATGTGATTAGTGTTTCTTGCTAACGTGTCACTATTACTGCTGTTCATTCTTGGAGTTAGGGATTAGAACAAACTCCTAAAAATAAGTAACCTTTAGTTTGTAACCTGGCAGACAATTAAGTGACAAAGTAAAAACATATTAACATATAACAAATTAAAATGTACTCATTCTTGGGCCATTGAAGATGTAGACAAGTTTTTTTTTTCCAGCTGCAGTGAATGGGTGCCGTCAGAATGAGAGTCCAAACAGCTGATAAATCATCATAATCATTAAGTAAATATGATTTATAGACTGGCATTTTGGCTAGAAGCGATGGTTTGCAGTTAAATTGCCTTAATGATGGATCTGTTTCTTACAAACCAGCAGTTTTTCCAGGGTTATACGTTTACTTTTCTTTATAGAAGCGCCTAATTTTAGAATGCTCCTAATTTATAAAAAAAAAAAAAAAAAAAAAACAAAAAAAAAAATTTTAGGG